GGGCAGCAGGGTTGTGTTCTCTGGGTAGGAAATATTAGCTTCTTGTGCCAATACCAGTATTAGTGAGTCTTTTTTGTCTTGAAATTGACTTTGATGAATTGGCAATCAAGACTTAGTAGAACTAATCCTTTAAAATTCATTCACTAGTTTGATTAAATCCTGATTATTTGCCTTCATCCCTTCATTAGCTGAGCAGAAACCCCAGTGGCTTTCCAAAAAACAAAGCAGGTAGCCTGATAGAGAGGCCAAAGGCTTTGTCCAGCCAGTAGCCATGTAATGAGCACCAACTGATGTCAAGACTAACAGTAAGATGATTGGAACCTCTGAGTAAAGTAATACTGTTCTAGAAGCAGATGCTCACATTAGGTGTGAGGTGGAGGAGTGAGGTATGGGCAATAAAAGGCCCAGTACACACAGTGAAAGTGCTTGCTATCAAAGCAACTTAGTTCTGTGAGTGCATTCAATTCATTGAAGCTGGTCTTGAAGAGCTCATTGTTCTTCTTGGCAAGGGTATAAAGTAAAAGTGAGCATAACAGATTTAGAAAAAGGGGACTTAGTTATTGAGCATATACTCTGCTATTTGTTTGCATCACATCTCATTTAACTGTTGTATCCCCTTTGAGGCTTTGGCAATAGTAACAGTCCCGATAAAAGACAGGCAGTGTTCTTTCTTTCTTGACTCATGCCATTTTGGACATCCCAAGTTACTTTTCCTATAGCACAGGATCAGAGTTAAACACAGATCAGACTTTGTTTTATCCTTGTGCTTATTTATTTATTTATATTTTATTTTTTGATTTCTCGAGACAGGGTTTCTCTGTGTAACAGCCTTGGCTGTCCTGGAACTCACTCTGTAGACCAGGCTGGCCTCAAATTCACTGAGATATGCCTGCCTCTGCCAGCCAAGTGCTGGGATTAAAGGCTTGCACTACCACCACCTGGCTAATCTTTTTTTTTAAAGATTTGTTTACTTTATATACATGAGTACTCTATCGGCATGTATGCCTGCACACCAGAACAGGGCATCAGGTCTCACTATAGATGGTTGTGAGCAACCTTGTCATTGCTGGGAATTGAACTGAGAACCTTTGGAAGAGCTGTCGGTGCTTGTAAGTGCTGAGCCATCTCTCTAGCTCCTAGCTTTGTGTTTAGTTGTAGTTTATTATTTGCCTGGTGTTCTCCCAGGGATCTGTCTTAGAAAACTTGCTTGTCTTTTTGTTTCAGGCTGTGGGGTTGCCCTTCCAATTCCTAGTGGAGAAGGAAGTACCTTGTTTTTAGTGGAATCTTTGTCTGGTTCTAATAGAGGTTTCTGAACCTATATAGTTTTTTTCTTTTGTCATGTCTCTGAAATCTTATGTGTAATTGGGCCTTTTAAAATTGTCCTAAAAAGGTAAACTCTGCATCTCCAAACATCTTAAGAAAAAGTCAAGGCCAGCGGGGTTAAGAGTACCATGTAAGCATGAGGACCTGAGTTTGAATTCCCAGCATGCATCTAAAAGCCAGGTATAGCTGCCCATGCCTATAACTCTACCACTAGAGGGAGGATAGCAGAGACAGAAAGATTCCAAGAGATCACTGGCAAACCAGCCTAACCAAAACAGGAGCTTCTGATAGAGGAAGACACCTGGAAACCTTGGGCTGATCTCCAGATGCATATGCCACACACACACAGAGGTACACATGCACACACACAGGTGCGCGCGCGCGCGCACACACACACACACACACACACACACACACACACACACACACACACGAGTCAGGAAACACCTTTAATCCTAACACGGAAACACTGGGGGTGGGGGGATAGAGGCAGACAGATCTCTATCCTAGTCTACAGAGTGAGTGAGTTCCAGGACAGGCTACACAGGGAAACTCTGAACAACAACAACAAAAAAAGTAAAACTCGGAGTGCCTGTAATTTTAAATGCTAATGTGTCATATTGAGTTCGAAGTTATCATTAATTTTGAATGATAACAGATCCTATGTAAAGTAACTTGGTGGCACTGACTGACTGGTGTTAAGAGCTGAGGCTTAGCCGAGGCAGGAAGAGTTCAAGGCCAGCCTGGTTCAAGGACAGGCACCGAAGCTGCAGAGAAACCCTGCCTTGAAAAAAAAACAAAAAAGAGCTGAAGCTTTTACATGATGTCTGTGGAACAGTGGTGTAAAACAATACCTAGCTGGACCTTTGGAAGGATATATGAATTTCTTATGTAGAAGGTTCTTGGTTGGCATAGATGATCACTATCCAGAAGGGGTTTTGGATCTTTTTACAATTAGGGACTAATATTTCTTAGATAATAGAAATGAGTCTCATTGAGACTATCTTGAAAAATGGGGCTATAAATACAGAGTTTTGGGCTTTTGTTTCTTTTTGTTGGTTGGTTTAAGGTCCACTCTGAGATGGAACCCATACATGAAACTGCTAATGTAGCCAATAACCCGAGGCTAGAAAGATCAAGAGTTCGTTTTTAATTTAACAAATTAAAATGTAATTACAGCCCTAGTATCTTATATTTGGAGATGAACAGTGGGTCATGGATGGGCAGTGTAAGAATATTTTAAGGAGAATTATCTGAGTGGATGTGGTATCCTCTGTTTATGTCTGACTTTAGCAGTAATATCAAGGATCATTTTCCAAGTGATAGTACTCTCATTTTCCCATAGTTCCATTCTACTTTGATCATTCTCTGTAGAAACACCCATCCATAGTTCTTTAATCCTTAACTAGATCATTTGCCATTGGCTTTGACTGGGATCCAGCTGTTCATTGGCTGACAAAACTTTCATGGTACCACTAATTGACTTCACTGCTGACTTGTAGTTCTAGCATACAGCTTCTTTATATAGTCTAATCACTATCATTAACTAGTTTAACAGTTTGCTTGAAGAAGGACGCTTAAAAGAAATCCTACACTAACTCAGAAATAGGTTGTTATTTATTTATGGGTAAACTCACAAACCAGAATCCTCTGCTGGAACGGAGATCAGAAATCGAAATCGGCAACTGGAACAGAGAGGCTGGAAAAGAGAGCAGACTTGGGCTCTCTGCATCAGCATACATAGTATGAGGCCACACCCCAGTAGGCAGGTAACCACTAACTGTAAGACTTCCTGCAGCAGTTTGCTGTAAGGATGAAGTGAAATTGAAATGTAACCTAGTACACACTCTGAGATGAGAAGTCCACCACGATTTCCCCCCTGACATAGCTTGCTCATTTGCACATAATACCTTTCTTTGCCTAGGGGACGCCATCTTTTGTATCAGGTCAGCTTACTAGTGCATATTTTTAGTGTATGACTATTTCTACTTACTGAAGAAACATCTTCTCGACTTTGTAACTTGGACTTTTTGGGTTAAATGGAACCCTGTGATGCAAATGGTTGTAGGTGTGGGACAATAAGCATTTCTGAAAGCTGATGCTATTGTCAGAAGCAAACTGACACAGCCTGAATTCTACAGTATTATCTCTAGGAGATGAGTAAATGGATAGTTACATTGGTTAACTGTACTAGCTAAAATTGAATTCGCAGGGTTAACTACTTGGGGAAGTAAATAAGAATAGGAACTGAGATGATGAAGGTGGAAAAGTGGCAAGGCTGGTGAGGTAGGTGGTGGTCTTTGATGATGTCATCCCCCTGCCTCCTGTTTTTTGGAGGTAGGGTCTCACTGTGTAGACCAGGCTGGCTTTGAATTCACAGAAATATGCCTGCCTCTGTTGCTCCACCATGACTGGCTATGAGGTGGATTTTAAATCCTGTGATAAATTTTTTTATAATATCTTTATTCCAAAAAGAAGTAAACAGCCGTTGGCAACTAACTGATAGTACTTTAGAAAAGTTTGTTTTGGTTTTGAAGATTTTGATACTATTTAATAGTTGGCAGCCTTGACAGGGCTGCTGATGTATTGAGCTGCCAACAGTTGCCCCAGTGTCAGCAAGAAACTCTGATAAGGAGTCTCACAGAAGAGTGAAAGGAGGGGAGATCCAGCTAGCCCAGTAGGAAGTATTTTCCAGAGTGCTTGCCTGACAGAACCTTAGGGACCCTTGGGTATGCTTTATATTTCTAGATACATGTTCTTGTCACACTATCCTTAGTGTTAGGCCCCTGTTTTCATGTTGGCTGTAGTGAGTCAAGTTGTCAAATTTCAACCTTGGCTTCTAATGCTCTTGGTTCCCATTCTTATTATACCCTCCTCTCCCTCCTCTCTCTCTCTCTCTCTCTCTCTCTCTCTCTCTCTCTCTCTCTCTCTCTCTCTGATCTTTTATTCTTGAGTCATGGTTGATTCTTTAGAATTTGAGGCCATTTAACTTTGTCTTGTATCAAATTTAGTCTCAGTGTGTGTATGTTCTCCCTCCCAGTGTACTCTCAAAATGTGTTTCATGGAGCAGTGTGGTTATATTAGTTGAGCACAAAGTAGTCGTAGGAGCAGAGTAAAAATTTATGGATTTAACAACCGTTAACCCCCCCCCCCCATTTTAATAGCTGGATATGGTAGCGTATGCCTGCAATCTCAGATATTTAGAATTTGAGGCAGGAGCCGGTCGGTGGTGGCACACGCCTTTAATCCCAGCACTTGAGAGGCAGAGGCAGGTGGATCTCTGAGTTCTAGGCCAGCCTGGTCTACAAGAGCTAGTTCCAGGACAGGCTCCAAAGCTACAGAGAAACCCTGTCTCGAAAAACGAAAAAAAAAAAAAAAAAGAATATGAGGCAGGAGGATAACAAATTCATGACCATCTTGGGAAACTCAGCAAGACTGTTCCAGACTTATAATGAATAAATAAACAAACTAGATGAGCAAACGAACAAATAATTAAATAAATAAATTTGTTTTGGCGTGTTGTGCTACCACAGAGCCAGTGTCTGATGCAAACACACTGGGATTTATTGATTACAAGTTAGCTAACTTGGACCATAATCCAACACACTGACACAGCGGGTGGGGGAAGCCAGCCCCGAGGCTTCGGGGTAAGGGGATTTTAAAGGGAAAACCTGCAGCCTTGGCATGTCTGAATGGGTAAAAGCATACAACTTTTGGATTCATTGGTTGGGTGCATGTGCACATACACTCACATAATGAAGAGAAAAAGAGAGAAAAGAAACTGGCCTTCTGTAGAATTTCAGTTTACAACTGTAGATCCTGAGTCCCAGATGGAATTCATTGGACTGGTTATACTTGCTTGCCTAAGTTATCTTGGAAATTTACCTTGAACTTTTGTTTTCACCCATAAAATAAGTAAGACATAATATGCATTAGCTTTCTATTTGCTGCTACAAGTTATTACAGGTCTATTGACTTAGAATAACACTGATCTTGTTACACTGACTTACCTAGAGAGACCAGGAAACTTCCATCTCATCATGCTTAGTCACATCTGCCAGAGTGTGTGAGGTAAATTCATATGTCTAAAGGTTAGAATATGGATATCTTTGGGGTTTTATTTTCTATACTGGATTCTATGGTGGAACCCAGAAGGTTCTTTGTTTTGTTGTGTTTCCCAAACAGGGTCTCACTATAATATATGGAGTCCTGGCTGTCTTGGAACTCACTATGTAGACCAGACTGGCCTCAAACTCACAGAGATCCGCCCTACCTCTACTTCCCAAGTGCTGGGATTAAAGGTGTGTGTTACTATTCCTGGTCCTAGAAGGTGCTTAATACTAAACTAAAGACATTTCTTCAGTTTAAGAGTTTAGCACTGGAGAGATGGATCAGCAGTTAAGATTATTAGATGCTCTTCTAGAGGACCTGAGTTTAACTCCCAGCACCCACAAGATAGCTCACAATTATCTGTAACTCCAGTTCTAAGGGTTCTGATTCCCTCTTATGACCTGAGGATACCAAGCACATACTGGGTGCACAGGTGTACATGCTAGCAAACCACTTGTACACATATAAATAAAATAACTATTAAAAGGGGGACTTATCCCATATAATGCTAGGCTTATAGCTTGGTAAATTTTCTATGAGAATTTTCTCTTTCCAGATTGTTCTTGGGCTCTGGAGCCTGTGATATGTTGCACTATTTCTTGGAGAGTCTTAAACAAATGTCTGCTCACCCCAGATAGGGAATCAGGGACAGACCAAAGTACAAATGCCACTTAGGTCCAAGTTGGCAAACCACTGAGTTTATTGGGGCCATTTACTGAATGGAGCAGGAATGACTTAAAGACAGCTGCCTCACCAAAACCGTCCCAGCATGGATGATGACTGCCAAAAGTTGGAATCCTGGAGCACACTGCTTGACTTCCAGGCAACTCGCCAGGTCAGAGGGTGTCTTTGCCATGTTATTTAGTTAGTCTGGTATTCTTACAGGCAGCTTGGTAGCCTTTATGACTTATATAAGCTTGGAGAGGGAGTTGCCTTGTGCATTTGGTTAATTTCATGGACTTCCTGAGATGTTAACGTTGACTTCCTGAATCTTAATGATCTTACCTTTAAAACCTTGGAGTCTTTATTTTGAAAATTTATTTTTATTTTGTGTGTATGCATGTTGTGCTTGTATGACTGTGCACTGTGTGAATGTCCACAGAGATCAGAAGAAGATCTTGATCCCCAGGAATTGGTGTTGAGAATGATTGGGTACTGCTATATGGATGCTGAGAATTAAATCCTGGTTCTTTTCAGGAGCACCAAGTAACCTAACCACTGAACTAAATCTCCAGCCCTAGAACTTCTGAGTTTTAATGAGCTTCCTGGGTCTTAAGGAACCAGGAAAGAAATTACTGCAGAATAGCCTGATTTAATAGTCAGTGCTAGAACTGTGAGCATTGACCTTGGGATTTCTGTTGTTTCCAGACTTTTATAACTAGCCTGCTAATTATACTGATAGTTTACCACATTTCCATTTATCATAAAGTCCTGAATGTGTCTCTAGACCCTATGGATAAGTTAATGTGACCGTAAGATCTAGAAGCCAAACAGGATACTGTCTTGGTGAGTTTCATTTATAATTGCTTAGTGTTAGATTTATAATATTTCATAGCAATTTAAATTGGCATTTATATGAGATTCTTTCTCTCCTACCTCTTATCAGATGGCTTCTATCTTAGACAATCATTACTTTCAAGGTAGAGAGAAAGAAGTCATAAAATATATTTAAAAGTGAAGTCTTGAATTCAATCCCTAGTACCGTGTGAAAACCAAGCATGTTGGTATACACCTATAATCCTAGCACTGTATAGGCAGAGACAGGAGGATCTCTGAGACATACTGGCCAGCCATTCTAGCTGATTGAAAAGCTCCAGGTTTACTTAAAGACTCTGTAGAGAGAGATGAGAAGACATCTAACATCAACCTCTGGCCTCCATATGCATCCACAAATGTATATACACATGAATATGCGTATATATACAGATAGATCTTTATTTAATTTTTATGAGTGGGTATTTTGTTTGCGTGTATCTGTATAGAATATACAGGGCCAGTGTTTGTGGAGACCAGAAGAGGGCATTAGATCCTTTGGAACCAGAATCATAGACAGTTGTGCATGTTGGGGGTTGAACCTGGGTCCTCTGGAAGAGCAGCCAGTGCTCTTAACTGTTATTTATCCAGCCCTTATAATATCTTCTTCTAGTTGTTTTATTGTGTTCTCTCCAGTGCTCAGCTCCTTGTAATGAAATGGAATTCCCTGTGACTTGAAAGACTATTCCCTGCCTTAAAGTTTTGAGGTAGCTTAGACTTAGTACACAATAAGAAATGCACAAAGGGAGTCACTGCAGTCTGTAGCCAGCCTATTGACATTTTCTTTTCATTTTGTCTCTTAGATGCACCCACTGGGCCTGTGTAATAACAATGATGAAGAGGACTTGTATGAATATGGCTGGGTAGGAGTGGTGAAGCTCGAACAGCCAGAATTGGATCCCAAACCATGTCTCACTGTCTTGGGCAAGGTAAGCACCAGGCCTTCTGTGTCACTGCTATTGTGTGATGTTTTCCATTTAAGTTTTCTGACTTAAGAAAGAGTCATGCTGGCACAGCAATCCAAATCTGCTCTATCCCTGCCTTCTGTGTGGCCTTGGGCAAGTTGCTTTTCCTGAGAATCTCAGCTTCTTGTTTGTGAAATGGGTTATTACTAGAAACCCATAGTACTATATGTTATACCTTTAGGGCCAAATGTTTAAACCTAAGATTTGGGAGGTTTGGGAAAGTATTAGGTGTATATATTGTCTCTTAAGTAACCTTGGGGACCTGGGGCCATACTCAGTAATCACACATATTCATATATATATATATATATATATATATATAGCAAATCATATGAATATTCACATTAAGTGGGATAACTATAATCTAAATAGCCTCCTGTTAGCCCACAGCTGCTTTGCCTTAAAATGAGTTCGGGTCCATTAATTTTTGTTGCCAGGTACGTTATGGAAAACCTTGGGATTTAGAGCTTCCTTAGTTTCAGAACAGCAGACAGCAATTATGGCCCTGCATTAGAACTTACCTCCCAGGTGACTAGGAGGTGAGGTGACATGCAATGCTTGATGCCTAATGTGCCACTATAACTTCTGACTGCAGTATTAGATAGAAATAAATTTATTTTGGAAATCCATCCATCAGGAACTTTTAATCTGATAAGTCATAACTGTTTTAAAGTAGATCGTTTAGTTAAAAGGAAGGGTTTTCTGAAAGTAATCTGAATTTTTGGTTAGAGGAAAAATAGTACCTAAGAGTAGTCTTATTGCCTAGACATATTATGGACCCCAGAGCTACAGATCTGTGTCCTCTGGGAAGACAACTGAGACCTGTTTCTGGAAGCTCAGACTCTTTTGGATATTCAGGCCAAAGAAGAGGTGGCACTGTGCAGGGAGCCATCACCAAACTTAAAGAATTTCTTGCCAGACACTCTAAGCTTAGCATGTGGCTCTACCTGTCTACTTGCCAATTCTTTGGTCCTGGAGACTCTCAGAAGCCTAATTTGCCTTTTGAGAAGCTCCATGACTCTTGACAAGTTTTCCTACCCTTTCATTGGAGGGGAAAACCTGACACAAATTATAGCCTGTTTGGTTTATGGTTCACTAAGTTGAATCAAGGTGTTTGAGGTGGCTCAGCCTTGATACTTAATCATTTCAGTAGTTGACCAGAGCTGTTTAATGATGGTTAGGAGCAGTAACCCTCTTGAGAGTTAGTGTTTTCTTAGGAGAAATGCCAGCTACATCCAAAGTGTAGGAACAGTGCTCTCCTTGTAGGTATCTGCTTCGAATATGCCATTTGCTCCTACACTTAAGCTGCTGCTGTACCCTGCTCAGCTTACTGGCTTCATTTGTTTTCCCCAGCCTAGTGGGTTGTAACAGGGCCCAAAGTATATGTCCTTAGATAATTTAGTGGCGGGCATTTGTTGAAGTCATTCAGAACCAAATTGTTTTCTCCACTGCCTGAATCAACTGCACCATGGTTTACTTGGTGAGTTTTATATGGTTTGGCCTGCTGGTCTATGAAGCCAGGGGGATAGAAACCTTAGATAGGTATTGAATCATGGAGCTCTTCTTGTGTTGACTTTTCATGAAATAGTTATTGAATGTGGGGGACTAGGAACTTAGCATAATGGCTCTACCTGCCTAAGAGCAGCAACTTATTTCTGTTGGAAAAGGCTAGGACTGGGAGTGTGGCACAAGGCAGCCCACATTTCCTATTGCTGTTTACCTTAAGAGTTTGGGTCTGAATAAAATCATTAGTAAAGATGCCTGGGCCAGGCAAAGTAAGATGGTTTACTGTTTGCTTTAAATGTGGGTTGGTAATGGAGATGTGATAAATCCCCTCCTTCCTCTTCCTCCTCTAATTTCATTAACTTTGTAAATTCTGTTGTCTACTTTTATGGTTTCCCAAGGGTAGAAACAAAAGACTTCAGTGTGGGGGAAGGCATAATAATCTTCCCAGTAGCTCAGCATGCCAATCCCTTGCAGATAGTATGATTTTTCCTTCTATTTCTTGGCTTTCAGTGGTTATGGCAAGGAGAGATAGGCATGGAGAAGCACAGAGGCATAGGAAGTGGGCTGGGAATGTGGCTTGGTAATAGAGCTCCTGTCTAGCATGTATGAGGCCTTGGGTTCCATCACCAGCACTGCAAGAAAGTTTCGAAAAAAGTTAAAAGGTGTAGGAAGAACACACAGCCAGCCCAGTGTGCAAGTGTGGCTGCAGGAACAGCCATGAATGGATTTGAAACTTGTCTCTGTCACCACAGAAAGCCTGTAGGAAACCAGAAGGGCTAGACACGGAGCCCTTCTGATCATGACCTGATGATTTTAAAAGGCATAAATGCTTCTCTAGGAGTTCAAATCAAGTTTTATTTTAAAAGCAAAAGGCATAGATTCGTCATCTTAGTTTATTGCCAAGGGGCTTTGATATCAGCACTTTAAACTTACAAGAGAAAAAATAATTTATGATCACATACTTCTGATCTTTTTAGTTCTGTAGCGCAGGTATAGACAACATCAATTAGGTAAAGATATTTTTTTTTTTTTTTTTTTGAGACAGGGTTTCGCTGTAGTTTTAGAGCCTGTCCTGGAACTAGCCCTTGTAGACCAGGCTGGCCTTGAACTCACAGAGATCTGCCTGCCTCTGCCTCCCAAATGCTGGGTGGGATTAAAGGCCTGTGCCACCACCGCCCAGCCAGTTAGGTAGAGTTGAGGTAAGGATGAACTAACTCCACAGGGAAGAAGCAGGCCAGGTTCAAGTAACCTAACCAGGCCTCACTTTAGACCAGGCTCAGGTAAACCTCTGCAGCCCTTGGTGGTTTCTTTTTCACTTAGTGCAGAGATGCTGTCTTTGGGACCTTGTTGTCTCATAACCTGACGTTCTGGACCATGGTTAGGATCTTCTCTAACACTCTCTTTACAGAGCTGAAAGATTGAACCCCATGGAAATAGTAAGATTGACATTTGGGGGCAGCTTACTTTTGAGAAAGGTCTTAAATTATTCCCAAAGTGCAAGAGTCTGTATGCCTCAGGCATTTCAGCTCTTCAGTTTTGTAGTGTTTATTAAGCATCTTACAAGGCTACAAAAATTTAAGAGGTTGATCTTAATTTGACTGTTGTGACCCATCAAATTCGTGGAGACTCTCATGTCAGGATGCACGTGATGTGCTAGAGTTTCCAGCAGAATTCACTTCACCTGAATTCTGAAATTCTAGGCTGGATAAGCCCCAAACCGAAGGTAGACCAATTCTGTGCTAGCCTTTTGAAATACAGTACATCCGGCCGGGTGATGGTGGCGCACGCCTTTAATTCCAGCATTCGGGAGGCAGAGACAGGCAGATCTCTGTGAGTTTGAGACCAGCCTGGTCTACAAGAGCTAGTTCCAGGACAGGAACCAAAGCTACAGAGAAACCCTGTCTCGAAAAACAAAACAGACAAACAGAAAAGTACAGTACATCCAGCAGGTCTGGGCCTGCCTGTGTCCAGTGCTTCAGAAGATGGTATGGGGAAGTTAGTGAACAAATACTTAGAGAATTTTATGTTAGAAATGCCATCTTGGTTGAGTGACCTTAGAAAGGCAATTTCAGTTCTTGGTGCCTTGCTCCTTTGTGAAGCATAGCCTTTCTGATTGCCATAGGGCCATGATGTATTAACAGAGCACTTAGCCCATACAATTCTGAATGAAGGCAAAAGCAGCCATCCTGGGTGGGTGCTCACTGCCTGCTAGGAGCTGTAGATGTCTTTGCTTGTCACATTGACATCTTGTCCACATTTCCATGTTATGTTGAGAAAACTGAATCCTAGTTAGTTTCTCCACATGATCTGAGATCACACAGCTCACAAGAGCCTGGAGATGAAACAGGACTATTCTGTGTTTCACTAGTGTTGACTTCTTGTCTCCTCTTGTCTTGGCCAGTCTTCTAGATAATAGACACTAGCTGCTTTTAATATCATCTGGGTGTGGTCTGGACTCTTGCTTCTACATGGTAGAATCACAGCTCTCACTCTACAGGCAAGGGTTGTTCTGAAGGTTGAACAATATCACAGAACTTATATCTGGTACTGCCACTACTCACCAAGTCAGCATCCCCCTCCCCAGATCTCTTTGTAGACCTGCTTTATCTCCCCTGCCCCGCCTACACTCAGTGAAAGATACAAATCCAGCATTCCTGGTTTTGATTCTAAAAAATTTCAAGAAGGGGCCTCGTTGGTCCATCGCAAATTGGGCACCTTTATAGGCTGACCAGCTGTTCTCTGGGGCTAAAATCACACTATGGAACTAAGCCTGTCTCACCTTGTCATGTGTGAAGGTAGGAAGAAAATGTTTTCTTCAGAAATGGGCTGAAGCCTGGAATAGTGCTGGTCTGTTATCCTTAAGCTAAGGACTTAGTAGTTGCTAAGTCAAGAATGCTATCATAGCCTTGTGGGCGGTATTCTTGGTACTAGGTGACCTGAAGTTGGGTCTATTGAGAGAAGACTCTTGGGCCACGTGTTTTCATAGTAGAGATCTGTAAATGGATGTGGTCATAGTTATTGAAGGGATGGCAGCCAAAGTGGACTATGAAAGCAAGAGATGGGGAAGAACAGTGTACAGCAAAGGAAGCCAGAGATTCTTTAGGGATGTGGAAAGTTGCTGAGGAAGAAATGTTTCATGTTGAAGAATTTGGTCTTTATGGAACTACAAGATCTGGCTCTGGGAACTGAATAGGCCCACATATCAATAATTTTTACCCAGGGGAGTTGCTGAGGAGTCATGTTTGCCTATGTCCTATTCCATTTTCACTCTTAGACATGCAGTGCAGAGACTGAATAGCCTTACAGAGTGGCAGGGAAGACCTGTCTGTGCCATGAGCAAAACTGCTCCAAAAACTGGCCCTCCTGGTGGATTACAAGGAAACTAAGGGTGAAGGCTGATAGAGAACTGTACCCTGTGTTTAGGCTGCCCCGTCATCCAGACCAGAGTCTCAGAAATG